CAAGACTCCACTAGTTAGACTGGGCTTCTCTAACACTGAAGCAGAGATTAAAATTTCTAGAGACTCGGGGCACAGGGACTCAGGCATATCATATCTAGAAATGCTTCTCCTGGGGAAATCCAGCTGCCTCAAACTCTGCTGGAAGGACAATATTGCAGGATGCAAGCAATTCAACATCTTTCCTGACGCTGCTGTTGGACAAGCCTAACAGGAAAAGTACTCCGCTAATCTGTTGCTCGGGAGCACAGATGAACTAGTTGGACATGTCAGCAACTGCCTTGGTTGCAATAACCATGAAATGGTAGGATTTCAGGGACAGCTTCCCCATTGAACAAAGACATTCTTCCCTTATGGAGGAAAACAACAGGAATAACAAGAATCCATTCTGATTCACGGAGCAACATCTGTCTGAGTTCACATACAAAACATCAGGAGAGGCAGAAACAGACTGCCTACCACAGACAAGTACTGAAGCATCACCCAAGCATGCAGAGTAGGAATGAGGAAGGCCACAGCTGAGGCTAGTAAGGGATACAAAGGGCAATGTGAAGGTGTTCAGACGGTAGGCTAGCAGCAAAACAAAGACAATATGAAAAAATACAGATTTGTTAATCCAAAGCTATGAAGAACAATGTCATAACCGAGTTGCCAGGTATCTAAATTGATTTTTAAATTTTTATCCACTAAATTGATCAGTGCAAATTAGTTTGCTTCAGAGACTTTTGTGACTGCTATGGCATAACAAGCAAATCAGGTACACTGAACATCTGAGGAGAGGAACACATTAGTTAAAAGCCTTTTGCTTTCAAAAGTTTTAAGTTCAACACAGCACTAGCAATAGTTGTCCTTCACATTTTTCAGGTACTGATATTACAAACTGATATTTCAAGTACTGATATTACTGCAAGAAGTGATACTAAGCCCAGAAAATTTCAGGAAGTATGCTTTAAAGTTTTGAAGTTCTAGAAGTATCATTTATACTAGCAGTAACTAGAACTTATGTATTTCCACCCTACTATATTATTGTCCCCGTGAAATTATTCAGCAGACACTTGAGTAATAACACCACATTCTTTATGCTACAACGCTCATTCTTAACGTTTTGTGGATAAAGTGTTAAGATCAAATAATATCACAATCAATATACCTGACCTTTACACAAGGCTTTAATATGCTGTTTGTTCTGCAAAGTTTATAACATGAGATATATATATATATGAAGGTGGCAGCACAATCCTAAATTAAGTTCTAAAAATACTCGAAGTTGTATATAGCACCTGATACATTGTTTGATAATTTAAAAAAAAAATAGACTTAAATGTTCTTTCATAGCTCTCCAACACCAGAAGCTTAGTTTTAGGAGGTTATTTATTGTTGCTTTGGGAGAGTTCTTGATCAGTTTGGGGTATTTGGGGGCAGAAAGGCTTGGAGGTAGATTTTTTTTTTTGCTTGTTTATTTTTTTTTATTTTTAGCTTTTACTGTGTGTAGAAATAATTTTATAAAATTGGAGCAGAGAAAAATAGAAGCTCTTTATGTTCCACTTTGTTACTCTACCAAATATTCAAGCATCACTGTTTACAAAGCATATTTCAGACAACCTGCAACTACAGCACAGTACATTCACCAGAGAACAGTAAAATTTTTAATTCACAGCTCCTGCCACTGAACATTAGTGGTTTCTATTAACTCTTTCAGATGCAAGAAAGCTAACAAACAGGATGCATGAACGATCTACTATGGATTGGCTAGTGCAGCCAGGTTTGGAAAATATGCCTGCCTATCAATAAGGAATGGAGAAGTCATCATTTGTCCTTTCAGTGTCCTCTCTGCCCACTCCTCTGAGTAATCTGAGTACCTTGCCAACACAGTAAATGCCAGACAAAGGTAAGCAGTAGCAAGCCAAAGGGGAAGGAAGAACTGAACAAGAATGGAAGAAGAATGGAAGCTGCAAAAGCCAAAAGATATCAGAGGTCAGGAGACACTGCTCACATCCCCACTCCATCATAGTTATAGCCCGGCACACCTACCTATTTTACTGAGCCTTATCTCGCTTATTTGAAAAAGGGAAGAAACATTTGTCAAGCTGCTATTTTTATAGGTGCTAACTAAAGTATCTTAAAAGCACTTCAGCAGCATTAAAGCATACACTGGTATACTAAAAGTGACATGGCTAACAGCTAACATTAGTGACAGCAGGACTCCTTAGCTTTGATCTCTCTTCATTCATAGATGCCAAAAGTCGTGCTTGTATATCAAACTTGCTTTTCTAAAATACTACAAGAAGCCACTGTCTTCCAGTAAAGAAACTGCGTGATATGAAGTTCTGTACCACTCTGCCCAGTTCAACTCCATTTTAAAACCATGTATCTTAATCAACTGTGTTACGTGCTTTAAAGAAACCTTCACAATTTTGATACTCAAAGACAAATCACCCTCACAAGCCAAGCGCCTTTATTCGGTTACCACTTTTAATATTTATTTGTCATATTACAAAGTTCTATACACAACCAGTTGGCATCAAACCTATCAACACCTTCATTAAAGCTTGACAATGCAGTTACAAGTCATTTACCCTCAGAAAACTGTCATGAAGCAGCTCATATCAAGCTTCTGTACCTAGCTTAAATTAAATACCAAAGATTATCTGAAGAAAGGGTTGTCTTACAAAAAGACACAGAAAAAAAAAGTACAGAGTTTCTAATTCTAGTTAAGTGATAGTGATTTCCATGCATATTTTAGAGATCTGGAAGTGCTATACACTTTCAAGTAATATATGCCAGTTCTTGCATGCATCTTTCAACATATATGAACGAGATTTTCTAATCACACGACTATGATTGTGATCCTCAGCTTAGTTTATTCACCAGTAGCACTGAAAGCACAAAGACTCCATAAAAAACGTTATCAGCTTGAACCTAAGCTATTTAAAAGTGAGAAGAACTCTTTTCAGCATGATATAGAGCAAACAAGATACTTAAATCAGCAAAAATTAGCTTATCAAGCTCAGGTTAGAAAGTAAAATTTTACTGAAACTAACAAAAACTCACAGGGATTTTATTAACTTAGACAACAAATCACTGCTTTATATTCATGATATAGAATTTTTTGTATTTTAGCATGTATTTTAATACTATTGCTACCAATGAACACTGAAAACTAATGATTACCTTTTCCCCTTGCCCTCATGTTATAATACAGCAGACATAGCAAAGAGTTGCAAATATTAGGTTTGCATTAAACAGTACTGGAACAAAATATGCAACTCTGCTTGCCCAAAACACATTCAGCCTCCAACCAAAACTTACAGACTTCCAGAACCATAAGTTGTTTTCTTGGTTTCATTTTTCTAGAAGTTTGTTCAAACGTTTTTTTGAACCCATCTACGAACTTACACATCTCACCACTGCAAAGGGTTCTACAGCTTATTTTTCTTCATCTTCACGTGAGGAAAAAACAAAAAGAAGAAAATATTTGACGTGTTTCACCTTCCAGTTTTACTATTAGGAGGAAATGGGAACAATAGTTAACTTTTAGTGGCAAGATATCAAGACAATTTGTTATCTTGGGGGAGGTAGCAGCTCTTATTTCAATTACTAAGTTTGTTCTACTACAAGTCAGATCTTTGAAGAGTCAGTAACATAAAAAATTCTGGCAGACACACTGTTTAGAAATTCTTTGTTTTCTACGTTCCATTAAAATCCTCCTTTGTTTACTCTGCTTTATTCCAAACTGAAGTTGACAGTCATACAGAAAGTGACTATTACAAATGTTCAGAAGTATATCATCTATTTCCTGGAACAGAGATAAAAGTTTTACTTTACTAGTGGATATTCTGACTCTACAAGGCTACTCACAGGCACAGAAAGTTCATTCATCTAGAAGAGCTTAGAATAAGTAAATAAAAGTCTTCTAAGCACAATTATGAGCATTAGTAATACAAAAAAACTGCATGTAAAGCAAACTAATCCCCCAGAGAACAAACTACAATTTATCTATTCAACATTTGCATTAAGTTCTGCTCATTTTAGGTCTTTCTGCTAAACTTTTTCTACCCATTATACACTTGCTCCTCTGCTATCAACAGTCATTCAAAACACAAACTGCTACTGGCACCTTTGAACAGCTCCTGTGCATGACTTGGACCTGGTCCCCCACAAATCAATATGCAACATTTCCTGTGGCTGCTGAGAAAAACTGTGCACTCTACTGGAAGATCCATAGAGGACACACGCTCCAATAGCAAATGAGCACAGACGACAGCGAGCAAGACTTGAACGTGTATGTAAAAAACACAGAGATACACGTGTATGTAAAAAACACACTGACAAGTTCTAACTAAAAGGGTTTATAGGTCTTGTGGAAAAAGAACGGCAGGAAGTTTCCCTAAGGCTAAGCTTCCAGAGTGCTCAAGCAACTCTAATATCAGAAATTACTCTGAACATACTTCAGTGTTTGCAATAGTATTCAAACACTGTTGTTTATAACAGTGACAAAACTCCAATGTGTCAGATGCTTCATTTTTGTCCTCCCATTATCCT